CAGTCAAGTCCACTATAAGATGCAGTGAAATAAGTTCTGATGCTTAGTGCTGGTTAAAGTGCTTCCAACTGAATGTCAGCAAAATTAGCATTAGTATATTAGGGATGACATGCTAGCTTACCAGAAGCAAAACCAGTACAGCACCCCCTGGTGGCTGGCAGCATTATAGATCACAAATCCCTTCCTCCATGGTTGTGTTGCCTGTTGCTTTCTAGTTGACAGTCACTAGCGGACCAAACTCCCGTTGCCTTGGTAACTTTTCAAAGCATTGAACCTGTCATATATCTGGGAACAGTAACCTTTGCTATCATTTGGTATTTTCCCACCCATTTTGGGTCGCCAATAGTGATTTCGTCCATTTTTGTAATTGCCTATCGTTTCACATCGCTGCTACCCACCTGCAGTTTTCCCGTTTTTAGCACTGAGGGTGAAATGTCTATTAATGTGTCGTCATTAAGTAACTGAGTCAAATTCCCCTTAAGCTGCAGTGACTCAGAAGAACAATAATAATAATAATAATAATAATAATAATAATAATAACTTTATTTATAAAGCACTTTCAAACTAAGTGCTGTACAGCTATTTGAAAATAAAGAGAGAAATAAATAAAAGCGATACATAGCAATACAAGTTAAAAACACAATAACAAGTTAAAAACATAATAAAAATTAAAAAATGGTGAACAAGTAGGTCTTCAACTTAGCTTTAAAAACCTCCACAGAGCATGTCTGTCTAATATCTTGAGGGAAAAGAAAACCCACGCTCTTCAATAGTCTTTTTTCTGGCTCTAAGAACTTTTAAAAGGCCAGAATCCTGGGATCGGAGAACACAGGATGGAACATAAAGGTGCAAAAGATCACAGAGGTATGAAGGCGCCAAAACATTTAAAGAATTGGAAGTGAGCAGCAGGACCTTAAAATCTGCTTGAACCTGACAAGGTAGCCAATGAAGGAATTTTAGTTCAGGGGTAATGTGCTTAAATTTTCCAGTTTTAGTTCAAATGCGAGCAGCTGCATTTTGCAACATCTGTAAACCTCTAAAACGTTTCTTTGGTAGCCCAGAAAGGAGAGCATTACAATAATCGATACGTGAAGACAAATGCATGGAGAAGAACCTCTGCAGTGTCGCGAGATAAAACTGATTTTGGCTATGTTCCTTTAGTGATAAAAGGCGGTCTTTGTTGTCTCTTTTACATGACACTCGAAGGACAGTACCCTGGCAACCCACACGCCTAAGTTTTTAACCTTGTCCCTGCAATTTATGACATAGTCACCAATTTTCAAGATGAAATTTTGGGACAAGTATTGAAATTTTTGTGGCCGGTGTCAATCAACTCTGTCTTATCAGTATTTAGAAGCAGGAAGTTATTTGATAACTGGCCCCTAATTGCAGATAGACACGATTCTAATTTAGACACTTCGCCTGACTCCTGACAAACAAAACAGATATTTGCACAGACTTTATATAAAAGATGAACGATGACATAATTGGCTTCTGGACTTAGCATTTTGAAGCTTTAGCGTTAGCATTTTTGGCATTAACGTGTTGATTTTCTTTTTATACTCAGATACATTTGGACAAGAAGATATGCATAAACTGTATGTGTACAGTGCACAGAGATAGAAACTGACTACGTTTTGCTACTAAACATGGAATAACAAATAACAATAACAACATGTTGAGGGGATGTAGCTGCTTGATTCATATCGGAAACCTGATTTGTTTCATACAGTTAAGATCTCGTGGTCGCGAGTACTTTATGTTGACATTTGGGGTTTTGTTAATATTTTGAGTCTTTGCTCTAGTCTTGACTTAACTATCTTTCCCGTGACTATTTGTAGTGTTGCAGAGTTTCAGTTTTTTGACCCTGTTTTTTTGCCATATGTAATCAGTAGAAGTATTATTAGCATTTCCCCCAGTGTTTCCTGCATGCGCTTTCTGTCTCGTCTTTCTGTTTCTACAGGTTCGCCTGCCTCTGTTATTTAAAATTATTGTAATATTTATTATATTTAGAGTTTCAGCAAATTAAAACAGTGTAAATGTCATGAATCTCTCAGTTTAGCTCAGTACACACAACCACAGTCATTGGAAACACTGCGGACTCGACAGTTGTCCAGATGTTGATCACTGCATCCCTCAATAAGGAGGGTAAACAAAAGAAGGTCCAGGCTGAATGGCT